AAATCGCAATCCCTGAAGAGCAGCGGGGATTGAAGGGAAACAGACTGCAGCAGGGGAGGAGAACAGGAGGAGCAAGCTGGTTTGGGCAGAGGTGGCGGCTGGGGAGAGTGAACAGGTTGGCAAAAGCCCAGGCGCCAGGACGAAATTTCTAGTCGCCATGGCGATCTGACGCCTGGGATTTGTCGAGCCCTTATTGGTTTTCAGTTGGGGTTTAGGGACTCGCTTCTTTTGTAAGATTTGGCTATATACTTGTATGGACGCCCCCAACCAGCTAGTTGCACAGATACATGTTTGTGCTCTTTTTTGAAGGCTCTGCTTGCTTCATTGTCTTCTCCTTCCTTTTGGCCATTTTGTACACTACATATCATGTGACTTTTAAGAAATGATCGTGGTTAGGTTATTTTGTATACCTTTTTCACCAACTTAAGGGCCTGCATCAACTTGCTTTTTTCACTTTAAACAGGTTTTTCCATTCCAATACAAGTCTATAGGGTTGCAGAACCTGCTTGACGCAGGACAAAAAAATGTCAGCTTCATGCCAGGTGCACCTATCATTAAATTCTGAATGGTCTCTTTGACGTTACTCAAACTGATACCAAAGGCTAGCTGGTTTTCACTTGTACATACTGATATTGGAGTGTAGTGGTTTACAAATGTAGTAAATATTTGCTGTGACGGTTGCAGAGATGAAGCTGTAGACATTGTTACAAGATGCTGCACACATTTACTCTATTTGAAGCAGTGTTAGGTTTACAAATGTGTGTGTGTTGGTCTTGGAGCATGCTAGCTAGACTTGGCTGCAATGTGTGCTGGTGTGCCTGTCCTGTATATTGTAACCTTTCACTGATGGTAAACCATATTTAGAATGATTGGAACATCTAATGGTAATCTTAACGTTTTTTTAATCTCAGCGATCCTGCTATATACAACTTGTTCTGGCTGTCAGTTTTGATGTGCTTTAGACCTACAGATTTCAGAGAGATATGATCTAAAGCTGTAATGTCATTAATTTCTAATGAGTGCAGCTTTGCTAAAGTAGCAGGGTTACACTTCATTCTGAACAGTTTATATTTGAATCTCGAGTGTTTGATGAGCAGGAGTTAATTGTAGATGTTGTGATAGTGAAGCATATAAGCTTAAATAAACATGGTTGCATTCAGAGCTGCTGCAGACTTTTAACAAACCATACGCCTTGTGAATTCCATTAAGAACTTGGACGTGAGAAAATGATCGGAATTTGTGCGAAAATTACTTGAAATGGTTTTCTTATTTTAAATGGTATTTTCATTTGACAGCAGCACGCATAAAGTTAATATATCCAAATGGATGGAATAGTTTCACAGAAACATTGAACAGTCGTCTGATTCATCCACAGGCCAAATGGTCCTTGCAGTACAGTAACTATTTTAGGGTAGATGCAGGTCCATGGGTAAGAGGTTTGCATCATCCAGCTGGTTCAATCCATCACACAGGTGTTTGAAGCATTATATGACACCTCATGCTTTCTTTGTTGCACAGAATTAGTGTTGTCAGCACATTTGAAATGTTGGGAAACCTTTTGATAAATGTTAAAACCATGGTGCTGCTAAATCCTTGTTTTTTTTTCCCTCCAGTGCCTGGCCCATAGAGGGAATGAAGAACTGCCATTCCCACCTCCTGCAAGGACAATATATATATATACACAACCCTACCCCTATATCACTTTAGGATTTTGGGTTTGCCACTTGGCCACTGACCAGTGACCTCAGTTAGCTATTCTTAAAATGCACCTGGTTAATGAGGGGCACATAAGCTGTACTCGCATGGCCCATGTGTCATCCCATGGGGATGTTAGGACTAAAGTCCTATCCTCCTCAACTAGCACAGATTGCATCTGAAGCAAATTTGAAACAGAGGGTAAGGGAAAAGTGCTAGAAGAGTTAACATGTTTAAATATTTTTAAGAAAGAAGGGATTACAAAATGGGCCTCATGTTTGTGTTTCTGATATTAACCATGAATAATTGGTTCAACTAGGTGAAAATAGATGCATGCTCACCTAGTTCTTCCTTTTGACTCCAACTTAAAAAAAGGAAAAATTAATCCCGCTGTACACATTTTATTGCCCCACAGGGGGAAAAGAAATCTCATCACAAAGGCAAACAATGAGATTTTGTTTCCAGTGAAGTATGTGAGAAGACCAGAGACCATGCCCAGCCCTACTTGACAGGGGTAGGCCATAATGTTCATCAGCAAAGCTGGTATCCATGTAATTTTGGTTGGTGGTAGCTTTGTGATTTTGTTCCATATTCAGGGAAGACCTTTGGTAGTGTAGACTAAGGCTGGGTTCACACCTGGGCGTACGGAATATGCGGCTGTATCCTAATGGATACACGCTGCAAATACGCCCCAAAGAAGCTCTTGTACTTCTTTGGGCGCAGGGCATTTTTCAGCGCGTCCCTACGTGCTGTAAAACGCCCAGGTGGGAACCTTGCCCATAGGCAATTATTGGTTTTCACATGTTTGAGCATTTTACAGCGCTGTAGAACGCCCAGGTGTGAACCAGGCCTAAGGGCCTGTTCACATGATTCAGGCCCTGATCAGGTGCGTATCTGCAGACGCGGTGCTATGTGGTTTTGCCGCGTTTTTGATGCATTCCCGTTCAGCAAAAAAATATATTTTTTTTAAATGCAGTGCGTTTTTGACGCGTTTTGCATTTCCTGACCGGACAAAATGTGACATGCAGTATTTTTTCTGTCGTAACCTGAACAGACTGCGCACGTGAGAACTGTAGCCCATAAAACACATAGGGATACATAGTGATGCATTTTTAGTGCAGGAGCGTACGAAACAGGTAAGCAAAGAAAACGGACGTCGTGTGAACAGGCCCTTAATGGGTAATGGAGTAACCTTTATTTTTTAGGCACCGCACACGTCTGAGTGAGAGCAATAATTTTAGGGCCATTAATCACTGATAACACTAAGCTGATGAGCAGTAAAAGTGTTTAAAGCGTTGCCTATGGCAAATTTTAGGTGTGGTCGTTTTTGCGATTTTTGCAGGCACGCACAATTTTAAGGCTTGACATGTTTGGTGTCTACCTGACATGACCCCGTCTTTTATATTTTACCAAAAATATGGGTACTGATAAATGTTTTATAATGTAACGTAGGGAAAACATTTTCCCCCCAAAAATGTACGGTACTTTTTTCATTATAGTAAAAAAATTAAACCCCCAGTGGTTAAAATTTTTTAACATAAATTGCAAAGATATAGTCCGGCCATGCTGACTGGTGACCTTTTTGACTGACTGGGGAGACGCCCTAAAATTTTTCAAGCCCTGATGATTTATATGGTGGCGAATGCAGCAGGATGTGCTGAAACGTGCAAAGGTGGATGGGAACACCCAAAACTCACAGGTGGAAAGAAACAATTGACCGGAATGTAGTCAGGTGTTATGGTAGGGCGCTCTTGCTATTTAGGTAAAGACTTGAAATCCAGGGGGCTGTCTCAGATTAACAGGTTCCATGTTTTTCTCTAAAATCACAAAGGAAAATTCCACAAAAACCTAGCTAGTGTCTATTACACTGGCCTATGTGCTTTCCTTTTCCAGATACAGCTACCAAAATCTGTGACCAGTGCAGCAAACGCCATTGGGATGGTTTCTGATCCTGTGCAGTCTATATGTAGTCCCTCTTCTATTTTATGAAAGGGATTAGTCACAGCAAAAAATGGCCAAATAGACTTCCACTGAAGTGACAAATTCAATATATAAAAAAGCAGAGATGGGAAACACATGAAAAGGAAAAAGTGAGTGAGCAGTGAACCTGAGAACAGGAGATAAATGAAACGCTATGCTCTCCTTTCCATAGAGGTTTCGTGGTCATCTTTAATTCAGACCCAGTTATATCGGTCAGTGGAATTTGCTGTGTATTTTTAGAAAGTCATTGTTGCAGTTTCTCCATTTTAACACTAGATGGCAGTATTATACAGTCTCTGCCAACACTGGGCATTCTTTTCTGCAACTCTGTAATTCTGCCTTTTTTATATTCTTTTATATATTGTAATATTTCCTTGGTAACACTTTTCAGTCTTTGCTTAATTGCAGGCAATTCCTCTTCCACTGCTGCATTTTCTTTTACCATACTTTTTTATAATGTCAGGTCATGGAAATCATTTCACCAAAATAAGGCTATACTGTCAGCCAGAGTTTGAAGTTAGAGGGTATCTGAATTTAGGTACAGTTATTCTGCCTGCCTAGCTGCCGTAGACAAAAGTATTTTGCCTGTCCCAGACTTCTAGTGTATCAGCAACTTTATGGGGATCAGCTGCACAGCCAGCAGCAAGGCAGATTTCAATCAAGTAATGTGAAGATTGTGTCAAGCCATGTAATTCAAGTAACTGTATATTTGGGGTGGGGAGGTTAGCAACGTTTTTTTTCTTAGGAAGGCCAGGCAGTTAGGTTAAGAGTATTTCCCCTGAAAGTAGTGTTATCCTTAGTACAAATTACCCAGGTCCGGAACAGGTTGTCTTAAAGGATAAGATAAAAAAAAAAGTGTTAGTAAATGGTCACTTTTAGTAAAAACCACAGCAGGGGGTTAAGTTTTTTTATATAAATGTATGCAGAAATAGATTAGATTTGGGGATTGATGAAAGATGTTCTATTTGTGTCATGCAGGTTTCACTGAAAGTGATCTCTGCCTATGTGTGTTTCCATTACATGCTTACTATAAATTGCCCATGTGTAAGGTTTAACCTTAATAGCCAGCTTGTGTTGACTCCAGTGGTGCCAGGCAGCTGTTCTCACACAAAGATTTAAACACAAACCAGAACTGTGGAGTAGTAGTAGTTTGTCAGTGTGTACAGGGTGATGGTCGTGGAGGCGTGGGTTTGTGTGTCTGGTACCAGTGCTTGCTCATGGAAGACTGCACAGACCATACATTGTTTAGAGAGATTTGAAATTGCTTGTATAGTCTGCAGATATGTACTAATATATGAAGTATTTGTATTTTATGTTTTTATCAGGTATACCATGTTGATTCTGACAGCTTTGAAACTGAAAACCAGCACTATGGACGGCGTTTAACTAAAGAGACTGTGAAAGAAGGTGAGTTGTATCTGAATAAAATGGCCACGCTGTCTGTATTTTACAGAGTACCTTATTTTTATTTTTAAGAGGCGTTGCTTTTGCCTGTATGTTATCCACCCCCACCTCCCTCCCAGAATGCATAAAGATACCAGTGAATGCATAATTCATGTTTTACCACTGTCTCTTATTGTGCTTGAGCCTCCTCCACATTGCCAGGCTACCACTTTGAGTAGCTCTACTTCTGAGAATTATTTCAGAATTTTTGCAGCTCATAAGCCTACATCAGTGATGTAATGTTTAACACGTGATCAGTAAATTTGCATGGAGGTCATTTTATAAATGTTCTAGGTTGGCATCATATCAAGCTTTGCAGACTTGAAAACAGAAATACTTTGACTGTACTTTCTCACATCATTCAGAAAATAACTAGATACCTGACTGCTGTGCTGATCCTCTGGTTTCAGTACATGCTTATTATTGAGCCAAAACAGGTTTTTATTTTTTTGATCAGTGTCTGTCTTAAGATCAGATCATCAGTATTCCAACCTGACATACAGGCTTCCTTTTAATGTCTACTTGTTTCATTACAAACTTGCTTATTGTGCTCAGGTTTGCTTTCAGACGTGTATATTTATTTAAGTAATCCTACAGCCCTGCATTATACAGGAGTATGCTGTGGGACAGTTGCAAAGCAGAGTGCAGGAAATGAGATGAGTGGGATTTAGGCAAGTTAAACTGCTTTTCCATATACCCTGGACCTAAAAAAACATTTACCCTTGCAGTGTGGGGGCAGCGCTACTGGAAGGGGAGTTTAGTTGTTTTTTTACTCCTGGAAATGTGATTTCATTGGATTACATTTTCCATGAAGGTCCTGGGGTTAATGGTGGCCTGCGATTTGAAGCAGTACCGTATGCCAGTTTCACTTCAGGCCATTGCAGCTCAACCTGCTGGCAGCGTGGGACAAGCAGACTCAGTCTTTGGATTATTACATACATAAGCAAAAACAGGCTTTCCTTGGCATGGTGGATCTATGATCCGGTGCTGCAACTGGTAAAATCCTTCCCCCTGATTGACTTGGAAGCTTCACAAAACTGATGCCAGCTTGGAATTAGTTTTGGATACCCTCTCAGTGCAAGGAACTTGATCTTGGAACTCAGGGCAGTTTTGGATGTTCCTGAAATGCTGGGCCTCTGGTCTGCATGGTCACCTGACCAGGAGTTAGACATTGTCACGGCTGTGGCCTACATCAGTCATCAGGGAGACATCTGAAGCCAAGCAGCTCAAAGAAGCAGAGCAGATTGTGGCTTAGGCAGAACTTTGATTGGGCCCTAACGGCTATGCACATTCCAGTCATGAAACTGGCAGGCAAAGTCATCAACATCTGAATCCTGGAGAATGTTCTCTTTTCCTGGAGGTGTTTAGAACCCTCACTCTCAGGTGGGGGACTCCAGAGATGAATCTCATGTCATTTAGCTTTAATAACTGGACATATTTGCTGCCAGGACCAGGAATACTCATGCCTTTTGTAGTGGATGCTCTGGTAACTCCATGGGATCCTTCAACCAGATCTACGCCTTTTCTGCTCTGTAGGATCAAGGGCTTTCTAGTGATCCTCGTTGCAATGCACTGGCCCATGAGGGATGTGGTACTCAGACATACTCAGGCTTCTGGCCAACTCTCCGTAGGCCCTTTCAGATCATCCAGATCTTCTATCTCAGGGACTAGTTCACCATCCTGCTGATTTTTGGTTGCTGGCTGCAAAGGCTTGGATGTTAAAGCCCATGGGATGTGTCCTTCCCCTGAGGGACATGGGCCTACTAAATGGTCGCCCCTGTGCTCTTGAAAGCTAGGAATTCATTTTCTGGGGAAGTCTACCATTGCACCCACTGTGTGTGGTGTCAGGCCAGGAATTTCTAACAGAGGAAGTGAAATGGAAACCAGATCAAATATCTGCTGAGGTATCTGCCCCCGTTCTAATTAAGTCTGAGTGGTATGGTGTGCACACCAGAAGAATCACACTGACACGGTGTTCAGCTAGATGAAACTTCTCCTATTATGCTAAGGCACATGAGTTTATATAGGCAAGCAGCCAATACGGTGTGCAAAAGTCATGTGAGCGCAGCATCACTAGACTACTCATAAGCTTCTGATTGGTCTTGTCCATATAAGGTCAACTTCCTTCAGGATCCAAACATTGTCATCTTGGGTGTAGTCCCGGAAGGAGGCGCCATCTCAGTTTCTTCTTCACACGATGGGAGGGGGTGCAGCTAGTGGCCATTTTGAGCAAGGAATAGATAGTAAGAGGATAGCTACACGCCTATATACATTAATAAGACAAATGGTAATTTTACTTGATTCCATAACAGAAGTACACTGTGGGAAAAATCCCATCTTTCCTCAAATCTGATCTGGATCAGCATTTGGCTTTGAGTACCATCAATTGTTAGATCTTAACCCTAGCTATACTTTTCCAAAGACGCCTTGTGTCCCACTTGGTGAAAGCCTTTGTGCAGGATGTTGCTCACATTGCTTCCCTTATACGCTCTCCCATGTTTTCTTGGGAATTCTGTTGGTCTGTTGGCTTGTTTGCTCGTTTATAATACATTACATGATTGCTTCTGTAGCAATCATGATGAGACTTTCTTTCTTCATTTCATTTTCTTACTGTATATTACAGGACACAGGATCAAAGTCTTAAACCTTAGGTTATATGCTGTATTTTGAACACTGTTTAAAGGACTTCAAATATCTTATTTCACGCTTGTATTCTAGAAGTCTGCACATAGTTGCAAGTCAAATAAAAGCATACCATTTTAGTAGGAGATTTTTTTTATATATATCTATATCTATATCTCTTGAAAAATTTGATAGTGTCTCACCAGTCAGTCAAAAATTTCACCAGTCAGCATGACCGGACTATAGTCTTGCAATTTATGTTAAAAATTTTGGAGGTATATAATTTAAAAAGTGCCAAAAATTGACAAAAAAAACAAAGTTTCCCTACGTTCTGTTATAAAACATTTATTCTTACCCATATTTTTAGTAAATCATGAAAGTCGGGGTCATGTCGGGTAAATAGACACCAAGCATGTCAAGCCCTAAAATTTCGTGCGCCTGCAAAATTGCAAAAAATGCCCATAGGCGACGATTAAAGCGCTTTTACTGCTCATCAGTTTAGTGTTATCAGTGATTAAAGGAGAACTATGGGGTTAGGGATTTTCCCCATAGTTCTCCTTAGGGCAACGGGAGGACACAAATTAGCGTCCTCCCGTCACATTAAGCTCGGTATACTGAGACGCCGCAGCTGAAGTTGATCATGACAATTATGTCTGGATCCGCCCAGCTGCGTGAGTGACAGCTGTCAATCTAGAGGCAGAGCCAGCTGTACCCGCCCCTCCCCCGTCCGGTCCCCCCGGCAGCGTAGTCTTAAACCTTAGGTTATATGCTGTATTTTGAACACTGTTTAAAGGACTTCAAATATCTTATTTCACGCTTGTATTCTAGAAGTCTGCACATAGTTGCAAGTCAAATAAAAGCATACCATTTTAGTAGGAGATTTTTTTTATATATATCTATATCTATATCTCTTGAAAAATTTGATAGTGTCTCACCAGTCAGTCAAAAATTTCACCAGTCAGCATGACCGGACTATAGTCTTGCAATTTATGTTAAAAATTTTGGAGGTATATAATTTAAAAAGTGCCAAAAATTGACAAAAAAAACAAAGTTTCCCTACGTTCTGTTATAAAACATTTATTCTTACCCATATTTTTAGTAAATCATGAAAGTCGGGGTCATGTCGGGTAAATAGACACCAAGCATGTCAAGCCCTAAAATTTCGTGCGCCTGCAAAATTGCAAAAAATGCCCATAGGCGACGATTAAAGCGCTTTTACTGCTCATCAGTTTAGTGTTATCAGTGATTAAAGGAGAACTATGGGGTTAGGGATTTTCCCCATAGTTCTCCTTAGGGCAACGGGAGGACACAAATTAGCGTCCTCCCGTCACATTAAGCTCGGTATACTGAGACGCCGCAGCTGAAGTTGATCATGACAATTATGTCTGGATCCGCCCAGCTGCGTGAGTGACAGCTGTCAATCTAGAGGCAGAGCCAGCTGTACCCGCCCCTCCCCCGTCCGTTCCGCCAGGCAGCGCTGGCGGAACGGAGGGGGGAATCCAGCCCCTCCCCTGTCGGCTCTGTGCCGTGACAGGATCGAGAAGTGAGCGAACGCCGGTATGTGTTCGCTCACTTCCCGATCTACTGAGCCGACCTGTGACCGTCTCATTGTCACAGGTTGGCTAGAACTATGAGGTGAGTGAAAAGCACTCACCTCATAGTTCTCCTTTTTAGGCTGGGTTCCTACCTGGGTGTTCAAAATATGCGTGTATGATGCGCGTTTTGGGGTGCATGTTTTAACCACGATTTGCAGCCCACAAAACGCGTCAAACGCCTATTTACGAGGGCTATCCTGCGGTGTCCTAATGGATACGCGCGGAAATATGCCCCAAAGAAGCTCCTGTACTTCTTTGGGCGTAGGGCGTTTTCAGCACGTTCCGACACGCTGAAATACACCCAGGTGAGAACCATGCCCATAGGAAATAATGGGATTTCACTTGCTGGGCGTTTTACAGCGCGTCGATCAGCGCTGTAAAACGCCCAGGTGTGAACCCTGCCTTAATGGCTCTAAAATTATTGCTCTCCGACGTTTGCGGCGATATGCAACATGTGCGGCACGTAGGCGCACCTGACGCATATATATATATATATATATGTGTATGTGGGGGGCGGGGACTTAAAAAAAATGTTTAAAAAAAATAAATGTTATGATTTTATTTTTTTATGAATCTTTCATTTTTGTATTTTTTTTTTTTTTACACACACCTTTATTGCTATTACATGGGGGGGCTAAGAAGCCCATTTACATGACCGGTCCTCTTTATGGAGACACCAGGGGTCTCCAAGACCCCTAATGTCACCTAGGGACCTTCAGAGAAGCTGATGAAGCAGAGATCAGCTTCATCAGCTTCTGCAGCTGGGAGAGTGACACTGAATGCAGGAAGTGATGTAATATACATCACTTCCTGCATTCGGGGACTGAGAGGAGATCAAAGGGAGTTTGTGTACTGAACTCCCTTTGATCTCCTGTCACAGAGCCGTGTCGGTCACGGCCGCATCGGGTACAGCAGATCTCGGGACCGGCAACGGCAGTGACAGCTGCTGATGCAAGCGATGGAGCGTCTCTCGAGACGCTCGACCGCTTGACTGTAAAGTTCCCGGCCAGCTGTGTAATTACAACGGCCGGCGGGGAAGCTGCTCATCGGGCTAAACCGTCCTCTCGTTGTGGATTTTTATATATATATTTAAAGATACTATTGAATACTCTTCGCAGCTGACTGCTGATGGGATTCTTTTAATATAATACTATGTGAATATTCATAAAGCAGTGAATCTGACAATTGATAGACATTCAGTGCAGATTAATCACTCTAATTTAAAACGGATGTACCAGGAAGATAAACCAGCAGTAAATATTTGATAAATGGTCCCATTCACTTTTTTAAAATATGCCTCTAAGGTTGCTGGAGGGACAATAAAGGCAGATCCTTCACTCATCTTATAGCATACTTCCACTTTTGCAGCCAAATTGGGATAACACCTACCTTTTTTATGTGTTGCATGTTCCATTCACGTAGCATAACGTAAAAGAAAACCAAAATGCTGCTTACATGCAAGTGCTTTTTACTTGCCTAAAATCATACTTTGCTTCCTCCTATGTAATGAGAGCGCTGGGGAGTTGATGTTTTACCATAATTAATCATGTCTGTACTGTGCTTATTATCCCTTGTAAATTAGATTTGAACACTGTCTGTATAAGCAATGGGGTAAAGATATCAAGGCTTGGAGGCACATTGGGTAGACTGCAAGCTATAGTTATACTTGAATAGGGGAGGGACAAAATGAGGAACAGGCAAAAAGGCAAGGGAAAGTGCATTAACCTACAAAGGCCTGCTCCAAATAAACCGCTAGAAAGGTAAGAAATATTTCTCAATGTTGTTTGCTGTGTAAATGGGAGCACATAACAAGCATATAGTTGGGGTTTCTTGAATTTGACTGCACTACACTTTGGGTCAGCATAGTTCTAAGAGCCAGACACGTGCCGAAATTCCTACAATATCTTTTATGGCTTTCTTTGCTTTTCTTCTGTTTTGAGTTGAAGGATCAGGCATGATCTTGCCATAAATGGGGTTTGTTCAAATGCTATTTGTGAAATGGGGATAAACATGCTAGAATCTCTACTGTTGTAGGAATGGAGAAAATAATGAGTAAGCTACTTATTTGTAAAAGAGGGAAAAATATGTATGTATAAACAAACTATATTTACTTTTTTTTTCTGCTTGATAGGCATTTCCAAGTTCTTCAATAATGGCTGTTGTCTGAGGAAGGATGCTGTGGCTGCTTGTCTCCTGAAAGTTAAACAAATTCTTCATTGGTTTGAGCACCAAGACACACTCAACTTTTACGCAAGCTCTTTGCTCTTTGTTTATGATGGCTCCGGCCCCCAAACCAATACAAATTTAGTTGATGGAAAAGTTCTGGAGAAGGTCTTTTCTAAAGAGTTGTTTAGTGATGTTGAGGTGCCGGAGTGCAATAACAACATAAATTTGTTGAGCTCTATGAGTAGTGGGAAGGGAGAGGAGCATGAAGTGAAACTGTCAAGAATCTATACTGTTCACAAGAAGACCTGTCCCAAGAGGCCACACAGCCAGGCCTTCCTGGAAGAAGAGACTGTAGAGCAAGACCGAGCATGGAAAAGTCATAACAATTCTCCACGTGAACATCTAAATGGAAACCTCCTGGATAAACTGGAAAATGTCTTCTGTCACGTTTCCACAGAGTCGAGGGAGAGGTCGAAGACTGACGTCAGAATGATCGATTTTGCTCACGTGTTTCCGAGTAATGAAAAAGACGCTGGCTATATCTATGGATTGAAAAATGTAATTGTAGTCTTGCAGAGTATTTTAAATGAATAACTGCTGTGTCATTGTGATTGGGAGCCAATGACTGGATAATCAAGAACAACCTTCACGAATATTTGCACTTGTAAATTGTGGTAATTTTATTCCCCTCTCTTTTTATTGTGATTCTGCATTGCAGTCTTTTTCATCTTGGTGGAAGGGGGTCTAACTTTTTTTTATAATACTACTCAGGAATATTGAAATGATCTGTAGGTGTTTAAATAATTCTGAATCTGTAGTAGGCAAGGCATTGAGATCACTCTGGTAGAATCTAGTTGGCGATTTTATTACGGTGCTATGGTAGGCAGTCTGCCTTTCTCATACAGTAACTCAAAAATCTGAATTTTGGGACCATTCTTCCAGGGCCATATGCAGAGCAAATGAGCATTAGAAAATCTCATTACCTAATCTGGACAGTATCCATAAAAAACAAAATGCTATTGTACAGCTGCAATTTGGAGCTTTCCAATGTCTCGGCTCAAAATTTTTTTTTTTGTTTTAACTGGAAATATGCATAGAAAATTAGATATGCAATACAATTTTTTCTTTCGGGGAAATGTAGGTTCTTATTTTGTTTGACCATCTGTTATCAAGATAGTCTGGATGGACGGGGTGTTTGAGGTGTGCTATAAAAGGGTTCCCTACTTTCAGTTATAACTGGACATCTATTGAAACACAGACCCCACCCACCTTCTCTCATAACGGTGTCCCTTTCATCCTCTCCTGATTTTACATTTTTCACTGCAAAGTCTGTCCATTCTTGTATAGTGACCGTCCTTAGCGCTATTGGCTAAATTACTGGCTTTCGCGTCTTAACAACTCTTAAGTGCAAAGTCAGGTTGTCATTGCCCATTCTGGGGAAAGCAGGAGAAGTAGGAACCTAAGGTATGCTTTTTATATTAATGGAGAATTTGTGATTATAGTCGGGCAAATCTCTTCAGTAACAACCAAACAAATACCGGCGCCGCCGGTTGCAAGAGAGTATCCAATTTGGACGTTTTGTAGATACACAGATGAGGCAGCTCCCACCGGTCAAATAGACCATCGATCTGGGAAGTACAAAGCAAAACAGCGCCTCCATCGTGTAAAAAGTCATTTATTAATACGGCAACACAGCTGAAATTATACTCACAAAAAGGGTCGATCAATAAAAGCATGTAAAAGGCGATGCAATGGAAATCTCTGGCAGCGGGAGTCTCACAGCATGAAACAAGTCAAAGGTCCTCTGCCCCTATGAGTTCGAACGGTCTAAGCGTTTCAGGGGCACGCCCCCTTCATCAGGTTCAGGTTCTGATAAAGGGGGCATGCCCCTGAAACGCGTAGACCGTTCAAACTCATAGGGGCAGAGGACCTTGACTTGTTTCATGCTGTGAGACTCCCGCTGCCAGAGATTTCCATTGCATCGCCTTTTACATGCTTTTATTGATCGACCCTTTTTGTGAGTATAATTTCAGCTGTGTTGCCGTATTAATAAATGACTTTTTACACGATGGAGGCGCTCTGTTTTGCTTTGTACTTCCCAAATCTCTTCTGTGATGTCTTGTACAGTTTCCCCTCCAGTTCTCTACACTGGAAGCTCAACTTGCCTACATGGTCTGCAATAAGAGCCTGCCAGTTTCTCCCCACGTAGACGGATACTAGGTAATTTTTCCATTTACGAATATTAGACCAAAAATGCATCATGCGATTATGATTTTTTTTTTTTTTTTAGAACTGTAGTCATTTTGTGAACTGAACAAGTATGAAATGCAGCCTGTAGATCATTTGAACTATTATAGGAAGTGACCTATGACCTAATTGAAGTCATTTTTGTTCTTCTGTGATGTCACTGGTTGTTTCTGTTATGACTGCAACATAATGTAATTTCACATAAAATGTCTGTGTGTGTCCGCACAATTTGTGCACTTTAAGAACCGTAAGAAGCTTACCAGCATGTATTCTGGGTAGGAGAAGTTTGCAAGACGAGCAAGTTTACATATTGTAGTATGGAAACTGGTGAATCATGGTGGTGGAATTTTAGCCGTGCTCTCTGCAGACACACAGCTACATAAGGACTATTTTTAGTTTTAACGCACCTCAAATGACTTTATGCTGTGTATTGTACTGTTTGTTGCCTTTTTTTTACCATGTAGATTTTTTTTGGTCCCATGTAATTCAAATTTTCTGAAGAGAGCCTCTTCACCTGGTTATTGTGATTCATTAATGAGACTTCTACGTTCTAAGATCCTAATTTAAAATGGTAGTGTGTGCATATGTATGTACGTGTGTTATTTCTGCTGTGTCTACAACATTTTCAAACCTGAGCATTTTTTTTAAATTTCTGCTGTAGGTTTTATGCTGCTCAGTAAAACTGGATAATTTCTACCTCTTGAAAGGATGCTAGACCTTAAGGAACTCCTGTCACCCTGAAATGCTTCTAAAATGACCGGATTCAAAATGCAGTGATCTAATGGTCTCTGCACATGCCTGTTAAACACAGTTTTTATAAGTTTTTTGATTGGCAAGTTTTTCTTTAACCACTGGATGACTGGTTGCTTTTTATATTTTCTGGGTCCAAGATCCTGGCTGCTGCAGCATACCAAGCTTTTCTGTATGTTGGGTGGTGATGCACCTGGCGTCTAAATATTGACAGGGGTTCTAATCCTTTTTTCGCACCATCTCAAAAAAAATGTTGTTTTTTTTTTATAGCTATATACATATCTCCCTTGCATGTTGCATTCCCCTGGTTCATGTACTGCTCCATATTATAATTTTTTAGCACAGATTGCTAGTGTCCTGCAGTCCCATTTTCTACTTTTACAATATACATTTGTGTAGTGTTTTGAGTTGGCACCTGGCATTGCCCCATTGTAGGAAATATGGGTTCAATGTATTGATTCGGAAAAGAGACATGCATGGATGCTTCTTATGTGCATTCCTGGAATTAACTGCATTTGCCCTCATCTTTCATGTGGACCAGCTATTTTCCATCAGTGGGGGCAGAGGATTGTATGTTGGCGCAGAGGATTGTTTCTTCTGTCCTAAAGTGGCAGATAGTTGGTGAATGTTTGCTTGTGTGAGATTGTTAAAATCACAGACCATTTGAGAATTTTGTTTGTTTAAAGGAAGTCTGCAAAAACATACTGCCGATCTCTGCAGGAAGAGGATCGGGAAGCCAGCGAACAGTGACTGTCAGTCACCGCTCCCTGCAGGGATTCCCTCCCTACCCTCTTAGTTTCTCCAGCGCTGACTGGAGGAACAAACGGTAGTGGGCGGGCACAGCTGGCTCTACCTCTGTAATCGGCCTGTGGGGTGGATCTCCACAGTATTGTCGGGATCTCTCCCGGCTGCAGCGCGGCTCTGCGTTCTCAGCATATTAGCCCACTATATACTGACTTTTGAGTCCCCGGAGGACATTGGTATACATCCTCCCGTGACTCTGAAGATGACAATGGGCTATGGACTATGGGCTCTCCTTAGACCCAGCATAGACCCCGCATAGCCCATCTGAAAATCCCCACAGCCACCTGAGAGTCTGCACTATTACACTAATTGCCATTATACTTTTAGAGCTAGTTATCACTAAAACCAGTAATAATCGGATGCAGAGGTAATTATTTAATATGATACAGTAAATACATTTTTATAGTCTTACAGATACAGCCGGCCCTTTTGAGGGCATCCAGAATGCTGATGTGGTCCCCAATGAAATTGAGTTGACACCCCTGCCCTATAGCAACCAGACATTGAGACTTTAATACTCCAGCTGTTGAATTCCATTGCTGGTTTGAAATTTGCTGCAAACCAGAGGACAACCTAGAACAGTTACATAATAAAGAAGACTTTAGAAGTCAGTGCATGGGCCAATGAAGATGAGCTAAGTGCAATAATCTTCATACGTTTTGAGCTAATGCTTCCCTTAGTAGCAATTGGATAGACGCCATTGCTGGCACTCATGAGTATACGTTCATAGTTCACAATACTTTTTATGAAGGCTAGGAAAAGAGAGCTAACTAGAGTGTTGCTTAATGGAAATACTGGTCTGTTTTGTGTTTACTTTTACATATGCATATTTGAATTTATTGTGAATTAAATGTTGCAAACATAGTTATGCAAATACGGTCTGTTAGGAAGTCAAAGCTTAGACAAGCCCTTTGCGACCCTCACAGTTGGTTACTGAGGGCACTAATTGCATCTAGAGAACGGGTCAAAGCTCTAATATCCTGGTTGAAGTCAGTATGTGCATAATGAAGTGAGTCAAGATTCAAGTCTCCCAGGCTGCTCTAGAATGTTGCTAAAGGTACGCACGCACGCACACATCTAGGTGACTACAATAATTCTGTTTTCATTCTATGGCATCTTGGTTTACTACAGATTCTGTTTGATGGCCTTTTAAAAAAGCACCTTACCTTTGTTGAACTTAATGGAAACCTTTAAGGATATTTGAAGATGAATGATCTGGAAATTTGTTTACTATATGCTTTCCATGTGTTTTGCTGCTCTCTATAGTATAAAATTGTCAGAATACCTTCTGTACTAATGAATCTTAATCTTAAATTTAATTCAGCTGCCCACACTAATGTGAATAACTTGCCACCGATACAACATCATTATCTAAAGAAGTGTAATGCTCAAAATATATCAAACTTTTAACAAAACTAATATTTGTTACAAAAATCTATCTACCCCACGTGTTTACACAAACATGCATTTCACTTTTGTTGCAGATTTTGTATATGTTGAACACTACACATCTTTATACATTTTTTTTTCCCACCCTATATTATGTTTCAAGTTAAAAGTTTCACTTTTAACAAAGCTGTTCACATGGAAATAAAACTGACAGTTAAAGCATGTATTGGCCAATTCCTGTGTCAGGAAGTTGGGGGCCTTCATGTCTTATCGTAGCCCTGCCCCTGCTGGAGAACCATTGGTCCATTTTTACTCCACTCCAATCTGAATAAACCCCTTTTAGAACAAACACATTTTTACTTTTCTTGCATTCTTTGTTAAACCCTTTTTTTGATTTTTTTTTTTTTTTACCCAATCAGGTTTTTTGTGACAATTGGGGCTATTCAGAAATTGTATAAATTTAAGTTTGCTTTCATATGCATATATCAAGTAAACAATGTTTTTTTTTTTTGCGCATATTATCTACCAATAAATTAAAGGTCAAATATTGTAATAAATTAAAGCTGATCTAAACCCAAATGTTAAGACCTATACTACATTGACTAGTATTAGTTGCTGTGTTAGATTTGTTTTCTTGTGCTAGCTGTATTTGCGGTAATATCTTTTATTAAATTGTGCCCCAGCCGCTTCCTGTGACACGGTAGAACTGCTGCTGTTGCATGCAAACCACATGCATGCAGCAT